TTTTTTTAAAGGATAGAACCCAGGGCATTATATGTGCTAGGCTAGCACCCTACCACTGAGTCACACACACACCTTACTATCCTTTCTTACTACTAGTTACTTTCCCACTTAACTTTCTTGACTCTTTCCTATAAAAGAAAAAAAAAAAAAACCTTTTGCTTAACTCAGATATTGCATCTCCTCGAGTCAAGGTATTTTCCCCACTGCAAAAATCCTTCTGAAAAAGATCTCCTAGCAGGTGTGGTGATGCATATCTCTAATCCATCTCTAATCCCAGATACTGGGGAAGCTGAGACAGGCTCAATATTTGAGGCCAAACTGGGCAAATTAGTGAGACTTGCCTCAAAATAAATGAAAAGGGCTGGGGTTTAACTCAATGATAGAGTACCCCTGGGTGCAATCCCCAGTATTGCAAGAGAAAAAAAAAAAAAAGAGATGTCTGGACACACCTGTAATCTCAATTTTGGGGAGGCTGCAGCAGGAGGATCATTTAAGCATACAAGTTTAAAATAAGCCTGGGCAATGCAGCAACACCTTTTTCTTACAAAAATAAAAAATTAAATTTAAAAAGTCTTTCCTTACTAGTGTATTTGACAATATAATAAGACAGTCTTAATAGTTATATGTAGGCAAAAAGATACCTACCTTCTTGGGTTTATGTTGATCCACAAAATCTCTAACAAACTGGTATCGTTGTTTGTATAGTGGAGGTTTAAACTTAATTACTTTCTCAGGACAAACTTCTTCAAAATTACCATCAATCACACTATTGCACTGAAAGTTTTTAAATAAAAAAGAAGAGTTCTTAATCATGCATGACTTCAGAAATTAAATTCAGGGAGACTATCATTATGGAGAATACACAAGTCATCAAAGACCCCTGTCCTAACATCATTAGGCAACATCACATCTCCTCCACCGTTCCCCTCCTGCATTTTAGCAGGTGAGAATCAGGCCAGGTCCTTCCCCTAGCTTAGTTTCAGCTGAAAGGAGCATTACTAAATGATGCATTTAATAAAAACAATTAGAAGCCTCCTAAACAGAGGGCCTTTATGGAGTCAACTGCCAAAGCCTGTGGTCTAATTAGAAGACTGGAAAATGTTTGTCAAGACTCTCCAGTAACCTCTCTCAGGTTCCTCAGTGACTACTTCTCTACCAGACTTTGACCTTAGTCCCAGTTCAATCTTTAATCTGCATAGCCCAGTTTTAGGAAGAATTCTGCTAAATCAGTTAAAAGAAAATCTCACCCACTGGATATCTAATCACCCTCACATTCAAGTTTTTTTTTAAATATTTTGTTGTAGTTGGACACAATACCTTGATTTTTATATGGTGCTGAGGATCAAACCCAGCACCCGGCATGTGCTAGGCAAGCACTCTACCACTGAGCCATAACCCCAGTCCACAATCAAGTTCTTCATCCCCCATCCTTAATGTATATCTAAGACCCTGGTCTGCCCTCAGCAGGAATCCTTTCAAGTCTGTTTAGCAAGAACCCTGCCACCCACCCCATCCTGATGAATCCTCTTAATTTTCCATCCACTACCCTACTCTCTCACACTCTACTCCTTAGATACATATTTCCAACTGCCTTTGCTGTACTTATTCATAGTTAAGCCCTGTCAGCAATGTGCAAGAGTCCTAAATAGTCTTTTTCTTTAACAGACCCCAACGGGAAAAAAAACAATTTGTAAGATTAATCAGTGAAAGCTTTTACTGCTGACTGCTGTTCCTATATACCAATATCACAAAGCATTGGACAAAAAGGCTCTTAATATCTAGAGTAATACTGTCTAAATAAAATACAAGCAGGGCTGGGAACTTAGTTTGGTGGTAGGACTTGTCTAGCACATGTGAGACCTTGGTTCCATCCCCTGCACCACAACACAGGGACCACACATGCTAGCTAGCAAGACCTCTACCAGTGAGCTACAGCCCTAACCCCAAATACTCATTTTTTAAACTTAAACATAAATTCAGTTCCTTCCTCAGTTGCACTAGCCACAACTCAAGCATCCACTTGCCATGTATCATATATACAGATTGGACAACAGGGATCTAAAGCCTAAGTACTGCAAGTGTGGACTGTTCCCCCACACCGCCAAAAAGTGGCATCTCCACCTGGAAACAATAAAAATGCAAATCCTTAGCAGGGCAAGGTTCCTCAAATCTGTAATCCCAGCTACTCAGGAGGCCTTGGCAGAAGGATCAAAAGTTCAGAGCCAGTCTGGGCAATTTAGGAGACACTGTCTCAAAAGGAAAAGGATTGAGGGTGTAGCTTAGTGGAACAGTATTTACTCTAGTGTGTGAAAGGCCCTGGATTCAATCCCCAGTACTATAAACAGTTAAAAAAAAAAAAAAAAAAAAAAACTTTCTTGGGCCTTATCTCAAATCTCCTCAAACAGAATCTGCTGTAAAATCTACAGGTGATGGAGAAGGGACAGGTTGGTAAGAGGGAGGAGATTTTCAGGGCATTCAAGTGGCATCCCTTTTTTCCCCCCCTTACATCCTTTTCAGTCATCTTTATGGTAACTGTAGACAATGGCACTGGGGGGAGGGGGTGTCATTTAACGTGCAGATGGTATTTTTGTTTTTGCAGTACTGGGGATAAAACTCAGGGACATGCTAGGCAAGTGCTCTCCCACTGAACTACATCTCCAGCACATGCAGATGGCATTATAATGAAGTTAGAGGGTATCTAAGAATCAGTCACTCTGGCGGCCATCTTAGGTCCAACCACTTTCAGGGTAGAAATTTAGCTACATCACCAAGGCAATGCACACTAGGGTGGGGAAACAGAAGTGAGATAGGGATTTGATAAAAAAAAGATACAGTGAATCTTAAAAGAAACCCCCAAGAGCCACTAAGATGCAGAAAGCATGGTTGTAAATCTTCAGTGGCATGCCTTTGAAAAATGAGGAAAATACACACACTCAGGTGCAAAACTGTGCAGCTGCACCTTCAGTCCAGCCCCTAAATACAGCCTTTGTCTGGCTTGTGCTGAAATTCTTTTCTACTACATATRCCAAGAAACCCACTGGTCCTGAATTTCCCCTCCCTTCTGGAAACTCCTTGAACCCTTGTCTGGAGGCACCTCTTCTCCCATAACAAGGATATAACATACTCAAAATTAAACAGTGGTTAATTCCAGGGATGGAAGTAGAAAAGTGAATTTTTATTTATTTTATTATTTATTTTTTTATCAACGATTGAACCCAGGGGTACTTAACCACTGAGCCACATCTCCAGCCCTTTTTATTTTTTAGATAGTGACAAAGTCTTACTAAGTTGCTGAGGCTGGTTTTGAATTCCTGATCCTCCTGCCTCAGCCTCTCAGGCATATGCCACCACACCCAGGTTTATAATATTGATGAATTACTTTTGTATTTTAAAAAGGCCCGAATTTTAAAATGTTTATAGGAGGCCGGGATGGTGGCACAACCTGTAAACCTAGCTACTTGGGAGGCTGAGATAGAAGGATCACTTGAGCCCATAGCTACTATATTAAGATCTTAACCATTTAGATRGGGCTTCTCTTTAGAATACCAGGCAAAAGGGGGGAGATGAAATCCTTGGGAGAAGATTAGGGAGRAGAAACAACTTTGGTAAAAATTAAAGGTAGGAGTGGCAAAAGTAATTTAGCCAAGCCAAACCTGGTGGCACAAACCTGTAATCCCAGCAATTCTGGGGCCCCAGGCCAGCTACAGCAATTTATTCAGGCCCTAAGCAATTGAGGGAGACCCTGTCTCAAATAAAAAGGGCTAGGGATATAGCTCRGTGGTAAAGCACCCCTGGGTTCAATCCCTAGCACCAAAACAAAACATCTCCAGGCAATCCATTCATTTATATTAGAGACAGTGTTGGGTTTGTTTTCCTTCCCCCGCCCCCTTTTTCCTCAATACAGGGAGCTTTATCACTGAGCTACATCCCTAGTCCTTTTTATTTTTCATCCTAAAACAGGGTAGCTAGCACCTCTGTRCCCAGCTGAGACAGTTTTTTTAAATAAGTACCAACTGATGACAAAAACACTTAACTTTATATGCACAACTGTAGAAAATTTCATCAACACATAGCCTTGTTTCACTTAAGACCCCTGGAAATGCTAGAGCCTAAATGTGATGGATTTTGCATGCAATTTCCTCACAGTACACCACTGTAATAACTCCCAAGAGAAATACAGGCAAGCAAGAAGGGTGGCATTTACCTACCTGTTCATTCTCTTCTTCCATCTTGTTTCCAGGTTTTGTTGAGAACAAATGCAGATATATCATTCAAGCTCTGTATCTGAGAATCAGCAGCGATTCAACTGTAAATACAAAATAGTTACTTTTATTTATTCATTCGTTTGTTTTTGAAGTACTGGGAATCTAACCCAAGAGTACTCTACCACTGAACTACACCCCTAGCCTTTTTTGTTTTGGTTTGGTTTKGGTTGTTTTTTGAGACGGACCTGGCTAAATTGCCAGTCCAGCCTAGAACTTGCGATTCTCCTTCCCTCTTGACTCAGCCTCCTGAGTGGCTGGGCTTACAGGTATGCTCCACGCCCCTAGCCAAAACACTTGTTTTTTCAGACACCTATAGGAAACAGCTGGCCCAGATGTAAAGAGAGCTTTCTCCTCTATGTGTTGCTATGCAGCCCACAGAATTTACCCAAGTAGTATCGTTTCTGACATTAGCAAACAAGTCAGGATATCTTAACTTCACAGTATCCGACTCAGCTAAGTACAATAATACCCATTCTCTCCTTTTCCTGCTATTTGTTTAATTTGATGCACACTGAAACAAACTCCTGAGTTCTGCCTCTGCCTATTTCCCTGCTAAGATTCTCAATCTCATTCAAATTGCTTTCAATAACTCTATCAAACATCGTTAAATGAAATTTCGAGAGGGAAAAAGTGCCCTTAGTAAGTCAAAAGATACTGCAACATCGATCCAATTCACTCCTGGACTTGAATTTAAATTTCTGGCTCTCCATAGCACTAGTCCCCATAAACTAGAACTTAGTCCGAAATTTAGGCACCATGTCAACAACTAGCTTTTAATAATTCCCTGACATGTATTACGAAACCCTGTTCATGCGAGCCTAGGCTCTATCTTTGTGGCACCTCAGTCCTCCTAGCATCTGCTACCTTTGAGAAGGAAGCACACCAAGCAGAAGAGCAAAGAGCAGAGGACGGAGCGGATTAAGCAGAGCCGCAGCCGTATTTAACTCCAGGCCCCGCCCCCGACGCCCGCGCACGCGCAGCCACGCTACGTGACGTTACCCGCCTGCGGCCACACCTGCGCACCTCATACCTGCGCCTTCTGCTCTCCTCCGCTGCGCATCGAAGTTTTGCGTTCTCGGCGTCGGTTCTGGTTCTTAGCGTCGGCCCCGGCGTGCGAAGCCCCACAGTGCGCCTGCCCCATCCCTCCTTGCTCCTCACTCCCAGGCGTCGGTTTTGGGTTTTTTAACGGCCGCAGTGGCGCATGCCCCGAAGCTATTTTCAAGGTCCTCACCCGAACCCTGCCGGGCACTACGACCTCCACCCCGCCGCATCCCGAGCTCGCGCAGCTGTGATCCGCCTTGGCCGGGTCTCGTGACTGGTGGATGGAGAGGGCGCTGCAAGGAGCTCGTCCGCAGGCCGGGAGTAAGGGTGGCTGTTCCGTTCGTGGCGTTCCCGGTCCGAGGTTCCCAGTGCGCCCCAAAGACCTGAAAACGGTCCTGGCCAATGGAAAGCGGCTACCGGAGCAGCCAGGCTCAGCGCGAGCCTGCCGGCGTCCAGTGTCAGAAAGAGCCGCCGCTCTGATCCCAGAACATTTATTTGCAGGAGGGACTTAAGCGACTGCTAGGCTGGTAAAGTTGGTCTGAAAACACCTGAACTCAGAAAAATGTTCTTTCAATTCCCAGCTCAACTCCTGCCCACCCACCCCAACTTCACATACACACAGATTGTGGAAAGAATGTCTGGTCTCTCAGAAAACTTTAATAGTTTCCTCCTTTCTCTCAGAGACTCAACACTTATATAAATAAGTACAGCACTTACCTGTTGGTGATGAAAGAGGGTGGGGGAAGGGGGCGACGGTGTCTTTGAAAGAAATCTTACTCCTATTTTAGAAATCAAAAGTTGGTGTTTACTATTGAATTAATAGCCTATTCATATACCATAATGGGCCAGGGATGTAGCTCAGTAGTAGAGGGCTTGCATAGTATATTTACATACCATAAAAGACATTGAAACTGTGTTTTCTAACACAGGCATGTAATGCCTACTGTATGCAAAAACATGCTAACAGTTTTAGGGTAGCACAAAGATAAATTATACAAATCTTGGCTTTGGTAATTTGGAGTCTAGTCTTATGGACAAAAATAGTGTATAACTCAAAAAAAAAGTGTGTAACTCAAGATAAGCTTCACAGATGCAGTGATGATGTTACATCACAGTTTGAGAGATTCCTGTTAGCCTAGGGAAACTGCAGTTGAAATAGACTCTTTGTTAAAGAAACAATTCCTTACTATAGGATTTTTTTTTAATTTGTTTTATTTTCTGGTACTAGGGATTTAACCCAAGGATGCTTTAGCACTGAACCACATCCCCGGTCCTTTTCATTTTTTTGAGACAGGGTCTCACTAAATTGCTTAGGTTGGTTAAGTTGCTGAGGCTGGCCTGGAATTTGTGATCCTCCTGCTTCAGTCTCCTAAGTGGCTGGGATTCCAGGCATGCACCACATTGCCCTGCTCACAGTATTTTTTTAAATGAAACATCTAAAAGTAAGTGATGGATGCATTTCTGGGTATCTACTAAAAAGGAATTGAAAAGGGAACAAACATATTTCTACACCAAAATTCACAGTGGCAATATTCACAGTAGCTAAAAGGTGGAAACAACCCAAATGCCTGTATGAATGAATGGATAAACAAAATATGGTGTAGACATACAGAGGGAAACTGTGGTCCACACCTGTAATTCCAATGCCAGGGATTATAGGAGTCTTAAAATACATAGCCATGCCCAGCTATATATATTTATACACACATGTTATATATTAGATTATAAGGAATTGGCTCACTGAGCCAATTTTTTTTTCCTTCTGTACTTGTGATTAAACCCAGGGTACTTTACCACTGAGCTACATCCCCAACCATTTTCATTTTTTATTTTGAGATAGGGTCTTACTAAATTATTCAGGTCCTGGCTAAATTGTTTAAGCTGGCTTTGAATTTTCAATCCTCATGCCTCAGCCTCCCAAGTCCCTGAGTTTATATGACTGTGGCACTGTACCCAGCATAAGAAAATTTTAAAAGTTAATAAATGAACTATACTGGACTCCTGGATCTAGAGTTTCTGCCTCATTGGCTAGAAGGCCCATTTATGAACTTGTATTCCTTATGACCTGTTTCCTCCAAATTAGCYTATTTCACAATTCTCCTGATCTACCAGGCTATGAGCCAGGTCCCAGACCTCATCCTTAGCTGTATTCACTTCTGCCCTTCCTACATTTGGACAATCCCAGAACCTAAAAATCATCCTTGGCTGTATTCACTTCTGCCCTTCCCACATTTGGACAATTCCAGAACCTAAAAATCATCCTTGGCTGTATTCACTTCTGCCCTTCCCACATTTGGACAATCACCAAACTTGATCTTTTCAAGCTGTCACATGCATCTGTTCTTTCCAACAACCAGTACTTGAGTTTAGCCTTTGTCATCCTGTTTTTTTCATCATAACTCATTTTATCTTCCACCATATTATAATTTCCATCGAGACTGGGAAGGCAAGTTGAAAGCCAGCCTTAGCAACTTAGTGAGATCCTATCTCTAAATTTTAAAAAATGAAATAAAAAGGGTTTGGGATGTAGCTCAGTCAGTAGTAAAGCACTCCTGGGTTTAACCCGCAATATAATAATAATAATAATAAAGTATCCTGAGCCAGGCACCATGATGTGCACCTGTAGTCCTAAACTGCTTGGGAGGTTGAGGCAGGAGGATCACTTGAGCCCAGGAATTGGAAGCCATCTTGGGCCACCCTGTCTTTTAAAAAAAAAAAAAAAAAATTTATCCTGATGTTAGCTTGAGCATGATGCTCACAAAAAAATGAGACATTTGGCAATCTTGGAAAAGAGTAATTATATTTTTGCTTTTAAGAAAAATGTAAATAGTTTGAGACTAGAGGAAAGATTGTGACAGATTAAGATCCATAAATTTATTCACACTCCTTTTGAGACCTGTGATCTATTTCTTCTCCTTTTGAATTTATATGAATTGTTTTTGTTTGGGTTTTTTTTTKGGGGGGGGGCAGGTACTGGGGATTGAACCCAGGGGCACTTAACCACTGAGCCACATCCTCAGCCCTTTGTATTTTTTTATTTGAGACAGGGTCTTGCTAAATTGTTTAAGGCCTCACTAAGTTGCTAAGGCTGACTTTGAACTTGTGATCCTCTTGCCTCAACCTCCCCAGCCTCTGGGATGATAGGCTTATACCACTACACCCGCCTTGTTTTTGTTTTTTTGAGATAGGGTCTATGTTGCCTATGTTGTCCAGGCAAACTTCAAATTCCCATCTTGCTGGGCTACCTCCGCAGACCTTACTTAAGTCCTCCCTAAATTGCTGAGGCTAGCCTTTAACTTGCAATCCTCCTACCTAAGCCTCCAATTTTACTGTATTACAAATTTATACTACCTTGCCCTACTCAAAATAAGAAATTTTTTAAAAGGTGTGGGGGTAACCAGGCGCAGTGACACATGTCTGTAATTGTAATTTTATATGCATAATTTTTTAAGTTTTTCTGAAGCACATTGTATAAACTTCAGCCCTTTAAAAAATATATCTGGCCACGTGCCTTTGCATATGGAGGATCACAATTTCAAAGCCAGCCTTAGCAATTTATTGACACCCTAAAAAAACTGTATCTGTACTGCCAAGATCAAGATCTGGAGAAAAACTGCTTCCACACAGCTCAATTACTCTGATCAATCCTGAATTTATTAGTCAATATTCTCCAGGAAAAAAAAAAAAAAAAAACCAGAAAAAACAAGCTGGGCGTAATGGCACACACCTGTAATCCCAGCTATTTGGGAGATTAAGACAGGAGGGTTGCAAGTTGGAGGCCAACCTTGGCCATTTAGTAAGCCCTGTTTCAAAATGAAAACTAAAAAGAACTGGAGATGAAGCTCAGTGGTAAAGCATCCCTGGGTTGAAACCCTAGAACACCAAAACAAACAAAAAATAGAATCAACAGGATGTGTGTGTGTGTGTGTGTGTGTGTGTGTGTGTATTTATATTTATATTTTTGTACCAGGGATTGAACCCACAGGTGCTTAACCACTGAGAAACACATCCCCAGTCCTTTTTATTTTTTGTTTTGAGACAGGGTCTTGCTAAGTTGCTTAAGGCCTCACTAAATTGCTGAGGAACTTGCAATCCTTCTGCCTTAGCTTCCCAAGCCACTAGGATTATTGGCATTCTATCATGCCTGGCTATATATTTTAATATATACACACATTCAAACATACTGAGAGAGATTTTATTATAAAGAATTGGCTCCTTGAACCAATTTGTCTTCTTTTGTACTTGTGATTGAACTCAGGGGTATTTTTCCACTGAACTACATACCCAGCCCTTTTAGTTTTTGAGACAGGATCTAACTAAGGGCCTCCTACCTGAGACTGACCTCAAACTTGCAATCCTCTTGCTTCAGCCTCCTGAGCCCCTGGAATTACAGGCATGCACCATCATGCCTGGGCTTGTGCCCAATTCCCTAAAATAAATTGGAAATAAGATTTAAGAAGCCAGACATGGTAATCCCAGCATTTTAGGAGACTGAGGCAGGAGAATCACAAGTTCAAAGCCAGCCTCAGCAATTTATTGAGGTCCTGAGCAACTTGGGAGACCCTGTCTCAAAATTGAAAAGGGTTGGGGATGTTGCTCAGTAGTTAAGCACTGATGGGTTCAATCCCCATTACTAAAAAATAAAAAAAAAAAAAATTATGGAGTCTCTGTTTCAAAATAAAAAGGACTATAGTTCAGGGGTAAAGCACCCTAGGTTCAATCCCCAGCAACCATCAAACAAACAAACAATGAAAAACAGATTCAAAACAGTTCAAAATCTGCGGGATAGATAGGCAGCCTGGCCACTTGGGGAAGAGTTAAACTCAAGTCCAAAGTCAGTCAGCTGAAGAATCCTCTTTTGCTGGGTGGAGGTGGGCATAGGTGGAGAAGGGATAAGGTG